CACAGCTCTTGAATATGACAACAGAGAGGAGGCTGGTTATACAGAGACACAGCTCCCTGTTTCATCCCTGTTTGCAGTTTGTCAGGTTCCGTCTGCAGAGTATACACCTGGCTGTTTACGAAGCCAGTCGAGTGGTATTTACTCACACAACTCCGTGTGCGTGTGCTTTCCGAACAAATCTATGTGAGCTCGTCTGGTTTGGGATAACGGCTCATGAATCTGCCTTTGTATAATTGTAGTTTGGTGACCACGGACACGACATGATGCTGTGGTTTTGTGTTTGATGAGGCCAGTTACTAGTAGATTTTGTGCAGCTGTCATGAAGCGCTTACTCTTGTACTTGTGTTGGCTGTTTACTCAGATGTTGACCGGCGTTGTCATCCTCAACATGACTGAAATATGGTTTGTCTGGCGAGAGGATTCAACAATAGCATGTTTGCTGAAAACCAACAGCAGCACTGGTAGGCAGCTCTTCCCTGAGCAAACAGATTAAAACACAATGAGAAGTTTCCAGTGGAGCCTGTCATCATCACATATTGGATCTCATGAATGAAAGTCCCCCTTTTTTATGTAAACGTAAACCCCCAGAGTTTTATTTTGGACCTAATTCAACATAAAACTTATTAACATGTATTTATTTTTCTGAATCACTGTCCTGTGTGTACGCCAAATACTGTATCTACTATATTTTTTTTCAGACTTTTGATGAGGCCTTTAATTCCACTCCACTTTTCAACATGAGGCAACTTGTAGAGGAATCTTAAGTGAGTCAGCAAAGCGCAGGCTTTAATGTGCTGAAGTACTCTAGCTACAGTACAGCATACACTGCATTCAATTAGCTAATTACTTCACTCATCACAGCACTGACAGGACAGCTGATATGTTGTATACCTCACTGCCATGTCGACCACACACTTCAAAGAGAAAATATGATAATAGAGACGTGATCCAACACAAAAATCCTCATACAAAATTTACAGTTTAATTACAGTCTTATATAATAATTGTGCTACTGGTGTTATGTAACCTGCTTTTATTATCGTGTAGTCTCTCTCTTTGTAAACATACAGGCCAATACATGCACGCACTATTCATACAAACAAACCTCGTTATGGCTTTGTATATTCAATTTTTTCCGATCTTTCTCAAAGAAAAAACTAATAATATTCATTAGAAACTAAGCTGAAAGTGGCAAACACTCTTATGCCATATGTTTATTTCCACAATGTCATAGACATTATCATAAATCATCTCTTTAATGTTGTTATATATATAGTTAAAGGGATAGTTATATAAAGTACGTCTCAGTTGATGAGTCTACCAACCAAAAAGTGGAGCTGATCCAATAGAGTGTGCGTCATGCTTAGGTATATGGATGTTGTATGTTTGAGAAAACAAAAGTGTGCATGATGAAAGGGTTGTCTGACAGCATAGAGGAGGGACAAAATTGATCATAATATAGCCTACACTTAAAGTGGTATAATTTTGTTTAGAAATGATACTTGGAAATGATGTTTACTTTCTTTAATGAGTTTTGCTCCAAACCCCATTGGTATTGTTCACAGCTGAGCTTCCATATTGGTAATCCAGCCTGCTTCTTTAAACAGGTGGCATATATTTACCCTAACCCACCATCCACAGAAGACTGTACTGACTGTCCTGACTGTACTTGATAAGTACCTAAACCAGGTTAGAAATATTATGCCTGTGAGAGACGTTCACTACAAACAGTAATCATAATTCATCATAACACCAGTTCTTCTTAATTAGATTCTTGGTTCGTTCATTTTTTTTCAGCAACTTAAGTATTGTCTTGAAGTCAACTTAAATCCATAGCCATTTTCAACATTGATGAAGTAACTGTAAATCAGGCCAATGGAATGTGTATATCTCTATTGATATGTGAATGGTGATTAATGACACTATCCACTTTATTGCAAGCCAATGAATCACCGTGTAACACTGTAATCTTGATAAGAGCCATGGAGAGAGAATCAATAATAGCAAAGCAGGAAAGTATGTCTTGGGAGTCTGGCAATACTGATGAAAATGGAAGCATTTTCTCTCATCCATCAACGTGGTAGCTAATCAGCACAGTTCTCCAATCAGCAATGAGGCAAAGAGCATGCACAACCTAAACTCATGAATACTTTATGCAACTTTTTTAAAGAGGCACATTTCACCTTACATCTGTATGCTTCAGTGTTGGCCTTTCAAATAAAGACACATGCACACACAGAGTTAACAGCTCTCTCTGCTGTCACATAAAGTCAGATTCTGCAAAAATGAACTGTCAGCAGAAGTATTATTAGGTTTGACCTTTCACTGTGAAATCTTCAGGTAAACACAAATGTGTTCGGCCTGTGTTTGGATGACTGCCAACACCCCATCTTCTCTCGTTTATTGTTATATCTTTGTGATTCTTCTCTTGCTATATTTGAACCACCAGTTGAAATGTAAGGTTAATAGAGGCCTCTTTGTGCTTGGCCACATGGATTACAGCCAGGGCTACAACTAATGATTACTTTCATTGTGAGTTTTATTCACCAATTATTTTCTTAATCATTTTTTCTAGCTTTGTCCAGATCCCAGTTTTTAATTGCTGGTTTAGTCCTCACATCTCAGAGATATTAAGTATACAGTAATCCATGAAATTGTCTAATGAGAGTGGTTTAGAGCTGTAGCTTGAATAATCACTGAAACAATTGGTGGCATTAATGCTGATTCATTTTTTATCAGCTCATTTGCCCATCCCTGACTATATCTCCTAAAAACATATACAGGAGAGCGCTCTGTTGTTGGTTACTTTTAAAGGCTTTAACATTGAAGCTGCTGTTATGTCCGGGTGTTCAGTTGTATACAAGAAAGGCCCAGTATGTGTGGCCTCAGGTCTAGTGGTATAAGTGCTAGTGCTGCCCTTAAACATCTCAGCTTTCTCCTTGGTTCAAGCCTGTTTTGTACCTTTTTTCAAAAGCTGGGAAGCCCTCTTACAGAAAGCATTTCAGCCCATATCCTACATCAGAATGTTACTCTTTATTCATGCTTTTCTGTGTTTTGCTTTTGCATTGGTGTTTTTTTTTAAACATGCATTATTTTTACTTAAATGTTTCAGAACCAAAGACCTGTTCCAGGAATACAGTAATCTATTGAGACAGCTGTTCTTATCAGAAAAAAGATACAGCCTCATATATTCATTTAATCAGTGATTATTTTACCTTTTGTTATAATGTGGGTTTCAAGAAAAATAGTGAAAACTGATGTTTTTACATATGCTAATCCTCACTTCAGAAATAGACAAGAAACCAAGGAAGAGTAAGTCCATTTCAGCAGCTCACATTCTCTATAGACCAAATTGTTTGGCACGCCGGTGTTAATTTGAACATTTCTTGCCTCAGGGTGTTGCTAAAACACCATGGTCTATTAAAAATGGCATGGATGGATCACAGGTTTTCTTTAATTTCACATCTTGCTGTTGCAAAGATAAATACACTTGGAACCTTGAAGATGAAGTGGAATTGATCTTTGATGTTGTTGATATGCTGTTATGTGTTGTAAATTGCTCGTTTATGCTTGGATAATAAGTGGTATATAATCCTGAAATTCATTCTTGGCCTATACATGTAGGAATTTTGAGGCTTTAAATGTGTGCATGTATATTTTCCATGCCAATTTATAGTGTTTTTATTTGTTAATGCTGTTAAACCAAACTCTGGAAGTTTTACCTTGGCTCCTATAAAAACATTTCATGTCACATGAGCCTCTTATCCTAAATATTGCACAAGGATGGGTTGGAGTTGTAGGATAGGCACACAGATGGTGTTGAGATTGCCTCAAAGGCGCATGATATGTGGTACTTTTCCATCTCACGCCCACACCAAAGTCTGTCACTTGCAAAATGCGGCTGAACACACGCCGACACACACGTGTTACCAGCAGGTCCTTGAGCTTGTTTGATATACACAACAGCTTGAACTGTAGATTGAAAGCAGTTGTCAGGGAAAGATTGTCGGCCTGTTTATGGTTAGGTCAATGACTCGAGAAATTGATCCAAGGACATCTAGACCTAAGAGAGGATTGTAATCGAAACAAAGGGGAAAATGGAGTACTCATGGAACATCTCTATGTCCTGGCTTAACGATTATATAAAATATCAATTATTAAGTGTCAATAGTAAATCAATTAAAAAAAACAACCTTTGAATGAAATGTTAACTTTTTCAATGATTTAATGGTATCTAAGATTGATGTCTGGTTTTGTGTTACTATTAGCACCGTTGAGGTCTGGTGCTTGTCCAGTTGGGTGATATAAGGCTGGTGTCTATGCTATATGCAGATGTTGTTGTCCTATTTGCTTTATTGGGTTGGGACCAACAATGTCCACAGGAGCAGTAAGCTGCTCAGCGTGCTGTGGTGGATAGCTTAGTTCAGGTTGAGATTGGGAGTTATCCAAGTGAAAGAATCTCTGGGTTTTTTATTCATGATCAATGGTTAAAAGGATTGTGAGCTATACTGCCGTTTAGGGGCACACCCTGCAGTAATGCAGGCTTTGTATCAGCCTTTAAGTAGTAAAACTAGAGCCAGACTATAAAGCAAAGCTCTCAATTTCAGTTCCCACTCTTACTCGCTGTTAAGATCTCTGAAAAGCAGGAAGAATGAAATTTTGGTTCCTACTTTTTGAAAGAGGATTCTTTCTTTTTTTACTCCCACTTGATAGGATGAGGAGCTCAGAGATTTGGTAGGGCCATGCTATTAAGCTCCTTGGCATTGGCAGGAGCCAGTTGATGTGGTTTTGGCAATCAGTAAGAATGCTTTCTGACCACAAACCTTTGGCCTGGGAGTGCACTGTATTTACCAAGGAGAACCATGCGGAGGTTTCCATGTTTGGACTGCCCAGTCTCCAAAGTTTTTCAAGAATAGTTGGATATCATTTTTTGTGCTTGTTTTGACATTTTCCTTTCCATGCTTTAACGCTTATGTTCCCTTTGTTCATTCTTTCTACAGATAACCAAGCAGCAGCTTCAGCAGACCAAGGATCGTTTTCAGGCCTTCCTCAACGGGGACACACAAATTGTGGCTGATGAGGCATTCATCAATGCTGTGCAGAGCTACAATGAGGTACAAATACCCTATAACCATAGAAGCAATAAAGGAGTTAAAGCTGATTTGGAATCCAAACTGAGATACTTGAAGCTTTCAAATCAATCATTTAGTATGTGGATACTTACATTCTTCAAAGCCTTTTTGGAGATTTCAACAATGTTAAATTAATTTAAAAAATATATATATCTTCAACCAATTTGTGAAATATGTGATGTCAAGTACTTTTCATAGTAAATATTCTCTGTTTCTGTAACAGATCTAGGTCCAGAAGGTAGAAGCTTTCCATTTTAAAATGTCGAAAAACACACTGCAGTCGTCTTGTCAAAATGCTTGTATTCACACAACTGAGTGGTAAAATGGTGGCTGAAGCTTTTCACTGCACAGATTATGAGTCAGAGCATGTGGCTGACACAGCCATCTTTTCCAGCCTCACTATTCAATCCGTAGACGAAAAAGTCATTCTAACCATGAACGTCGAAGCGGATAGTGCCATAGAACTTTTAAAGCTAAATCCATTTTGAAAGAACAAGAATAGCTATTATAAAAAAAATGTGATTGGTACCATCTGCAAATGCATATAAAGACTGCTATGGAAGTTAATAAGAGTAGACCTCATTCAGTGACAGCTTACCACAAACTGAGTTCACTTTGGGAAAGTGACATGCAATGAAAGTGGCTGAAATTTAAAGCTGGTTAGAGATTAAAACTATACGTTATGTGCACCAGAGTCTTTTTTAAAAAGGACTAGATGAAACTTTACAATTGATTTCAAGTCCTGTCTAACTTTCATACTGTAATACTTCAAAGAAAACAATATTATCCAATCATCATCAGTGTCCCACAGAAAACAATTAGCTCAATATCAATATTTTAGATACATTTTAAGATAGTATTATTTAGTATTTACACATGACAATGAAAAAGTCTATATATTTTTTTATACATTTCCTTATATTTCTCAACACAACCTATAAATGTGGCTGACAATCATGTCCTGATGTATTGTTGTAATGCCAGTTATTATTGTACTTTGCGGCTAAAAGGTTGATACAGTTACACCACGACAGCCTTGACAATGTTCTGAGTAATAATCTAATTAGAAACTTCAATATGGCTCCTTTCCTTTTGATCGAATTCTCTGCTAGACTTTCATAATACTCCAATGATGGTGTCTTTTTTGTGTTCGCTTGAACTCCAATGCATTTACACTGTGTAAGAATGAAATGTAAGTACAGTATAGAATTCTATTTGTCTTTTCCTAATGATTTTTATCTTGTAGTCTGCGGTGCATTTCACATAATCTTAAATAAAAGAAGTAAAGTGATCAAAAAATATAAACATTTTCTCACCCACTTACTGAAATAGGGAGGGGAAAATGATTAGCTAAATTCTGGAAGACCTTCAGCAGCAATATGTGCTGTTGTCATCAAAATCACTGAATGCTGTGGTCTGCACTTCTTCAGATGGGAAACCAAGGATTGACCTAACAACTTCTTAGCTGCACCCTGCAAACCTTTGTTATCCACTTACATACACCCAATGACAGGGTTAATGTACCGCTGAACTGTAATGTTTCAGTACAGTAGACGTAGCTTCTTAGCCATAATGGATGCTAAGAACAAAATGGGACTGTCAGAGTGACAGAGCAGTCGGCTCCGATGGTTAATTTCTTGATGCATTGACAGTAAAGCTTTCTCTGTCCCTGCTACTCTATCATTTGCAGGAGGCAAGACGCAGCACGTGTTGATGGTCGTGCCATACATGTAGGCCTACGATTGTTCAATTCAAAATGAATAACAACTGTTGTTTTGATTTTCTTTTGCTGACAAAGAGACATTTATTGTTTAAGACAAAGTGTGACAGAAAGCTTCACAGCTCGGCAACAAGTATGAATCTGCTCAGAAGTTTTGTGTTACAAAATCGTTACTAGTCAATTCAAATATGTGCATCATTCTAATGGATCTGTATCTCTTTACTATCTGGTTTCTCAAAATGCAGGTGTTCCTAAAGAGTGACCGTGTGGCTAAAATGGTCCAGAGTGGCGGTTTCTCAGCCAGTGATTTCAGGGAGGTGTTCAAGAGGCACATCGAGAAGCGCGTGCGTAGCCTTCCAGAGATCGACGGCCTGAGCAAGGAGACGGTCCTGAGCTCCTGGATGGCCAAGTTTGATACCATCTACCGCGGTGACGAGGATCCCCGCAAGGCACAGCAACGCATGACTGCCAGTGCGGCATCAGAGCTGATCCTCAGCAAGGACCAGCTGTATGAGATGTTCCAGAATATCCTAGGCATCAAAAAGTTTGAACACCAGCTGCTGTATCAAGCCTGTCAGGTAAGACGTGAAGCCGCTGATACATCTCAGGAGGTTTTTTATACTTGGCCTAAATACTTAAAACCCTGACCCTAACCCAGTGCAGGCACAATATTGTATTAATTTATTTTACTATTTGGATTTGGGGAGGCAAGATTAGAAGCTTATTTCACACATAAAATCGCTCTACTGGGGGGAAAATACAAACACAAAATGAATATGTAAGTTTGAGATGACTGAATGCGCCCCTGTTAATTTTTCACCCTTTTTGTATGTAAAATTCATTAAATCTCAACATCTTTTTCCTTGCAACAATGATTAATTAACAATATTTTTAATTTGCAGGTAACGTTGTTAAATCGATTCAAAAAGACTATTTTTTCTTTAAATTAAGGATTTGTCTGTCTGTTTTTATATCAAACCATTTGATAGCTTGAGTTTTGGACAATTCGTCGGACAGAAACAAACCGTTTAATGTCTTGACAGTGGGCTTTTGATTGGCCTCTTTTCTACCCTGCATGGTATTTGGCCAATGTTAACCCAACCCCAACTTTTGAGGTGGTTGTGGAATGTTGTGTCCAACTACTCCAAGACCTGGCAGCATCTTCACCAATTCCCTAATTCACCCAATCGTTCTTGCCATGAAAAAAACAAGAAAATAACTTTGCAATTCTCTGATAAAAATAACTTGTTGACCAAAGTGTGAAAATACAATAGTCTAGTTGACATAAGAATAACAGACATGGAATCACATAATTTGCAAAATATGTCAATCTTAGAAAAGAGGGTGTATGATTTAACAAAGTTGTATGTTTATGGACAACATGAAATGCCTGTGAATAGCCATATTTGAAGCAAAGTAGTCACCAGGAGGAAAAACAGATCAGCATTTCTCATTGTAGGGAATCTATGTAGGGATTGCATGTAGATAATAATGGACACTGGGTTGATTGTGTCAGACATAACTCTCCTTCCCTTGCTGTTTTTACTGCTTAACTGCGCTCTCTGGGACGCTGAAAGAAGCGCTAATGTATTCTTTCTTGTGCGGCTTGATTAAAAGTCTTATCACGGCAGGATTCGAAGGAGGGCTTTGACATATTTGATCTGCTCACATACCTCTTCAATAGAAGTAGATCTATTTGGATATAGTGTTGGGAAGCCATTGATTTTGAAAATGCTGGATTTCTTTTTGGACTGGTGTCATCCCTTTTCAAACTGTTGCTAAAATATAAATCAGCACAGATGGTATGAGGCGTGCTGTTGCACAAATAAGATTGTTCAGTATTGCTCAACTGTCTCTGTTGGCAAAGATCAATAACGACTCTGTTCTGCAGTGTTCATTTGTTAGAAGCTCCTAATGCTGAGGGGCAATAAATAGCTATAACCTCCAAATCCAGTGTGAATTTTCCTTCCAAGTCTTTGAAGGTGCTTAACCTAGTTTTTTTTAAACATGCTGGCAGCAGAACTACTAGTATAGGGTGAGAAATATCTATGTAGAACATAATACCTTTCCCTGAACCGAATCCTCTAAACAATGCAGAGCTTCAGAAGGATGGATCTAATCATAAAGGTATACATATGGCACAAATACAAGTGTCTTCATGTCTGCATACTGACTTTGGCCATTGCAGGCAGGTAAAAATGACACATTGATTCAGGTCATAGGAATGAAAAAGGACATGTCGTTTTAACTGTCTTATTTTTTTATTCCAGTTGGTCTTGACCTTCTCTCCCTCTCTCGTTTCATTTGCCTTTATGATGCATCTATCATCCTGTACTTATGTATATCCTGAACATTTCCTCTGTAAGCTACCAGCTGCCATATTGCCCTCAACTAAATAATAAAATCCACAGTTAAAAAAGGAGAGGCGGCAATCCAGTCAGTGCGGCTCAGGGCCTCTGGGATTTGATGAAAGGTTTTCATGGATTGGCTAGGATTCACAGGCCATCATTTTTTTTTTAGCAGTTATCACTTGGGGATTAACATTTTTTTTGCAGTTACATCCAAATAGTAGACAGGAAGCACTGGTCTATTTCAGTCTCATGTTGAAGTAAAAGCAGCCCCTGGAAATGACTAACAGACTGATTAGACTGTATGACCAGCGGCTGCACCAGGCAGACTCAGAGCATGCTCTTGTCCCCTGTGGCTGCTCAGTTATTTAGCTGTGATGACACCAAGCATACCCTAACAATTGTAGTAAAATATGTTTGGTGTTTACATTGCAAGGCAGTGTTATGAACCACAATTGAATGAGAGAAACAAAAAGTCCTTTGCTTTATACACATTTTCCAGACAGTATGTACACAGAATAGTATGAGCAGTTCTTTTAGACACTGGATGACATTTCACAACTCTACATTAAAAGGTGAACAATGGCTTTAATGGCTATATCTCTAAGCCCTTGTCTGTTCAGGAATTAAAGGCAAATATATCTCATAACGCCAACATTACAGTTTTTTTTCAAATTAAAGCTGGAGGCAACTTGTCTTGTTGGCTAGACAGTCAAGTATGAAAATATTATAGCCTGCCTTTTTTCAGCAATATTCATACACAACATTCACATCTCAAGCATTTATACATTCTTGAAACTTAACATGGTTTGTAAAAATTTCTACGGCAGTTGAGCAATACTAAACATACTATTCCATCAGCATTTTAATTTATTTGGCCGCTAGGTGGCAGGACCTCCAGAACTGAACCACTAATATTGGTGGTGTGAAGAAAATTGCTTAGCTTAAAAACCAGCACAATAGGAGAATAGATTGCCATTGGTTTGAATTTTGCTTCTGATGTTCCGACGAATGTAAGTCCATATTCACTTTTTTTTGGGTCTGTTTGGGTTTCTTCCAAGTCACACAAAACTGAGTTGTTAGCCTTGTTTGTAACATTAGCGTGAGCGTTACTCGGTGTTCAACACCGTGTAAAAACTCTCAATTCACTTCACAACCATTACTGAGAAAGAATACGCTAGTATCTGCCTGTTTCCCAAGCCGCCTGTTGTAACTCAGATTTTTGTTTATAGTTCCCACATATGGACATATGTAGCTGCTCAGGCCCCTGAATTATGAAATGTTTGGGGCAAGAGTCAAGACCAACTGAACATTAACGCTTCGCACTAACCTCATCTTCGCTGCCTGGACTCAAATTAAAACATCGAAAAAACGTCTACATTTTGCCAAGGGGACAGGCTGAGCTGTGGCCACCTTCGCATTTTAAGACCAGCTTGAAACGTGCCGCTCGACAACAGGTAAAAAGTACAGTTATTCTCCATAAATTTGGGGTAAGTAACAGTAATCAACAAATGTTGAAGCGTCCCGAGTTGCAGTCAGCTCCATCCGCTGCTTACACAGTGTTAGCAGGCTAGCCAAAAGGCGACTTCGTAGTCTCTACCAAAATACCAATTTTACTTCAATAAAAAAGATAGAAGCCTACTTATAAAAGCATCATGCCTACCATTTTACACTTCACTTAAGCATAATGTCAACATATAACTTCATACAGCTTTAAAATAATTTTAGTGAAAAAACCTGACTAAAAGACCATAATTAGGCTATATCCAGTCCGAATGTATAACTGCATATTAAAAAAAAGTACACCCCCTTTTTTCAACATTGTGTCTTATTAGGTCACACGAGAGACTCGTGGTCTCCGACTCTCGCTTAGGTCTCAGTAGTAGGTGGTAAAGTGGGTCACGATGGTCATCTCATATTGGGTTTATATTGTTTCGATAGTCTATCATTGCTTTTAACCAATTGTTAAGATAATTATAGTGCATCAATTCCACTGTCCACTGTTTCCTTAACAGGAAAGGAACAGATTTATCTGTTGTGCCTCTGTACGTTTTGTGCAGGAGAAGAGACAGGACTTTACTTCTGCATTGGTTATGAACAGTGTTGGAAATTAGAAACTGCCACCTGCCAAATGTGTCGGCTTTTGTGTCAGGGGGGTGTAAATGCTTTAACTCCTTATCGTGGTATTGAAAATCACTGCTCATCGTAGCTCAGCTGATACGACGGAGGATTAGGGCCACATTAAAAAAAAAAAAAAATACAATTTTGAGATTAAATTTGTGCATTTACGAGAGTCGTAAATTAACAAGTTCGAGACAAGCCTGCGCGAAAATGATGAAAGTAGAACTCTTAAAGTCTTTAAAGAATAAAAGAATAAAGTCGTTATTTTAGTCTATATCAGAAGAACAGCAGCATCCTGTTCTCAAATGAGAAACACGGAGCATCTTGTCCTAAAGGTTTCACTAATAAGGAAATAGGCTACTTCCTTGTGTAGTCGGTAAAAACAGTTAGTTCAAGAGAAGTTTTCACTTCAACTTGCAAGACCTTCTTTATCTGTAAAATGATGACCAGGATACAGACTGGTTCTGCACATGAGACACATTAACAAGGCAGATAACAGACACGAATAGTTGTGTTGGGGCTTCACTTACGCAGATATGAAACTACACATGCTTTTGGCACAACATCATCTTCACATTGTCATAAAATATCAGGAACCTGAAAAGATTTTGCAAGAAACTGTGGCGTTTCCGAAGAAAGAACCACACTGATTTGGAGAAAGTTGTCTGCAGAGGAAAAGACTTTAATACTAATACTAATAAGAGTTCTACTTTCATCATTTTGTGCAGGCTGGTCTCAAACTCGTTAATTTATGAGATTACGAGAATAAAGTTGTAAATTTACGAGTTTAATCTCTTAAATTTAGGTCTTTAATCTCAAAATTAAAAAAAATATATATATTTTTTTAACTTGGCCCTAATCCTCCGTCGTACAGCTAAAGCTCAGTTACATCCATGATAAACACATTTTATTTCCAACAAATTATTCACAATAAAATTCCCAGTTTTTTTTGTTTTAAATGCCTTATGAAACAACCATATCAGAATATAGGTTGTTTTCAGCAATAGCAATTTAACAGATGCCTAAAACTATGAAAGGGACGCAAGAGAGAAACACAACTTCAAACCACACAGATTCAGATTGAAGTACTGAGGTGTTTTAATCATTAG